AAGTAGCTTTGGGTTGTACGCACATTTGTCTGTATTTAGTATTTAGTAGCTACTAGATCTGATTTGAGAATGTACCATGAGAAAGCTGATCATTTCTGTAATGGTTCTCAATCCAAAGCACGGATGTGTTGGTAACTTTCTTTATACTCAAAGTATTCCAATCCATTAACTAAAACCATGCCAATTTGTTCTACTCCTAGTGTCTTTTTGTACTTCCTCTTTTTATCTCATTGAATCTTTCTTAATCGTTATTTAATTCTTAAAGAGATATAATAATAATAATCCTTGCATTTGACATACAGCCTTAGAGCCTTGTAGTTGAGACATCTCAAAACTCTTTACAGAATGTATTGTAAAGTGGATTGATTGTGTATTTTATGCGTGAAACAATATCTTACAGTTTCTTCACCACCGAGCTCTTATGAACGTTTGGGAGCATCAAGAGGAGTCCTAAGATTATGAAAAGAAAGGGAAATTCCGGAGCAAGGATTTTCTAATTCCCAGTGGAACAACCTAAATTCTTTGACAATTCAAAACTTTTTTCTTGGCAAAATAAACTGAATTTTGAACGCAAGAGCACACTGGTACAATGGTGCTGAATCATTAATGCTCAATTTTATTATACCATCAAAAACCTTCAACACTGGCGTACCCTGAGGCCTCTATTCCAGTTTCACTGCCTTTTTGGACAGCCGGGTGTCTGACACATCCAGAAACCATCACCGTCTTATAAGTATCCAAACATGACTGGGAGTTCTACAATGGTATGCACCAACACATAGAAATTTCCGTGTCTGGAATGAAATATGTATTCTCTTACTAGAGGGACACACCCTGTTCAAACAAAAACAGTGTATAAATTTGCAACGTTCCATAACTCTTAACTATCACAAGAAACATATAAATTTCATCCTTAGTTACCACATGAGATTGGCATTTATTTCAATTGGAGAATTTTCTCCATTTCTCTTCCCCCAGCATAATAGTTGGGGACCAGGAAATTCCCAATTTAAAACTCCAGATTTGAGCCTAAACACAGCATTTTACATCAAAGCATTGGGAGTTTAAAAACAAGATGGCAGCCCATAATATCAACTAGTAAAATTTCTATTGCTTTCCTAATGTTTTTTGGCAATATAATGATCAGACTACACCGTTATGCCCGAATAGAGCATATGGCATGCCAAGATGCAATCTCAAGAATATTTACAATCAATTTGTACACATTTTAATAAGATTAAATTCCATTTAATATGAACTACCCACTCTTCATTACAAAACCATTCCCATCCATTGCAGTATCATTGTGGAAATAATGAAAGGCTGTTTTGTGAAAATGAAGCGTGCAAGTTATGGACAGTGGTGAAATGGTGCAAAAATGTTGAGAATATTTCCACCCAATTATCCAGAAAACATTTGGACCAGTGTTTGAGGCACAGGTTGACTGTTTAGACATCTGTGTCAAAAATGTGTCCAAGTTGCAAACTGAATTCACAAAATAATGTCAATACTGAAGGATCTCAATTCTCTGACCTTTGAATGGTGCACAAATGAGTGACTTTTGTTGGACAATTTCTTAGGAGGATGCATACACAGGAGGATGTATTTTGCGAGAACTATGACCATAGTTTGGAAGTTAGATGGTATTAGATGAGGGGTTTCTTTGCTACAATGGTTTCTTAATCCACTGTGTAACATTGAAAGGTCAGTCAGCTAGAGAGCCTGTGTAGATAAGAAAGAAACAATATCTGTTAGCAAGCTGCAGTTCCTCTAGAATAGACATAGACAAAGTCCAGTTTTTGATGAACTTTGGAGCAACTGCAATAATGTAAATGCCTCCAAAAAAAAACCACTGATGATAATGGTAGTCAAAAATGATCTAATTGAGCTAAACTTTCCTGATTGCATTTTTATATCTGCAAATAAAATTTGAACACAATATATGGTTGATTACTTCAGCAAAAGGGTAATCTTCCTCAACCTTTTGAAGGCTTGATTCAAAAGAAATACAGTAATTCTCTTAAGTGAGTTCCTCAGCGGGGAACTGAGCATAATAACCTTGGTAGTTTGGCATGCTACATATAGATATGCTATTATTGTGCACAAATGGACAAGAAAGACAAATCTGAATCACTGTACATGGGAGGTCCCTCCACAGTTTCACCCATCAAACTTGTCGAGATCTCAATTCCAGCCTTTACCCTCTTTCGACTCTGGTTCATGGTTCACTCTTCACTCGCCCCAGTAATCACCAGGCTTTCTACCACTATCCCTGGAACGCTCATCCTAAGGAACTTTGCCATGTTACTTCTCTTGCCTTCAAAAGCATTTTGAAAACATATCACTGGGACCGTGCTTTTGTCCAACACTGGGTCTCCTATTTTCCTACTCAGTGTCCACCATGTACAGATGATACACATTTTGAGATTGTTTTTACATGGGAAGGTGTATAAATACAACTGATTTTTGGTGAAGGTAGAAACTTCCTAAAATGACATGTATGTCTGGATCATTACAAAAAATTATATTTTTCACAATGGCCTAATTCAGGCAGAAGATGTTTGTAATGTTATTCAAAAAGACTTACCACAAAGGTTCAGTATCTGGGAAATTTTGTCTGCTCAGGATTGTTGGCCAGGATTATCAGGAGAAACTCCCTTCTTCTTTCAAATAGTGCCTTTGGGATCTTTAATACAATACAAAATTACATTTGTATAGTGCCTTTCACATCGGGAGGACGTCCCAAGGCACTAATGTACACCTAAACAGGCAGCCAGGACCTCAGTTTATCATCTCAATCAAAGGACGGTACCTCCAACAATGCAGCACGCCCCAGTACTGCACTGGAGTGTCAGTCTTGACTGAGAATTCAAAGTCCTGATATGTGTCTTGAACCCACAATCTTCTGATGAGACCTTCAGAGACGAGAATGCTAATAACTGAGCCAGGCTGATATTTATGAATTATGCCTTAATGGTATTCTAACCTAATTACTCCCAGGGATATATTTATTCCACTTAAACTGCTACATTTTTATGCATCGTTTTGTTTTTACCAGTGCTGGCAAATGAATCTCCCTTCTACTTTCGTTATCCAATGTCCCTGTCAAACATTCCCAGGTGAGGCACAGCATAATCCAGAGTAAGGATTTATTTTCTCTGTCCACAATTCAACATTTTCATCTTATCCTGCATTTTTGATATAGCGCCTTATCACGTGGTTGAGACATCTCAAAAAGCTCCACGGGATATTCTGTAAAGTGGATTGACTGTATATTTTACGGAAGAATCCCAGGCAATTCATAGGATGTGGCCGGCTTGCTTCCAAAATCTATGCAGTCTAAAGGAAATTCAACCCCATTCTACAGTGATAAATGTATATGGTCCAACTCAGTATGCCCTGTCCCAATATAACATACTTTGAAAAGTGTGAACACGATTCAATGGAAGCGTTACAAGAAACCATCATAAAGTGATCTGATTACAAGGATCATAAAAACTTGTACCCTACAGCACAGTACAAGACAGTACACTGAGTGACACACTTCCACTAACTGCAGCTTGCAGCTAAAAAGAAACAATTTGAAGTAATACAGCAAGCTGAGTGGAACCATAGTTTAAAAACATTTTATATGTTCCATAAAAATACGGGATGCGTTTTATGGCTTCAATACTATGTTAGGTTTTTGACGACCCAGTTAAACCACTTTCAAATTCTTTCAATTTACAGTGTCATCAGAACATCTCTATTGTATTAAATTGCTGAAATTATCTGCAGCAGACTTTGTAGCTACATATTCTGTGTATCATAGTTGGTTGAGGAAAAATGTACATATATTTTTTGTAACCTTTGGCCATCCTCATCCATCTTAGTGGAACCACACTAGCCTCGTTCGAGTCCTATCTAACAAGCGGCATTCACTTTGTCTACTGAAACAATTACTCCTAACGCCCCCGCCCAGTCACTATGGTGTACAAAGGTCTCCATCGTTGCCCACCTCCTCTTCCTCGTCTACTTGCTCCCTCTTGGTGATGTCATCTGCAGACATGGAGGGAGCGGACAGGTTGGTGGAGTTTTAATGGGTTGCAGAGGTAGGGAGGAGCAAGACTGTGGAGGACTTTAAAGGTGAAGACAAGAATCTTGAACTAGACTCTCTGGGGGACAGGGAGCCAGTCAAGCTGGATGAGAATGGGGGTGATTGGTTCACGAAGCTTAGTGTGGGACACACACTCCCATGGAAAAGCCGGCACCAGGATAGGCTCAGTGAGCTGCTTAATCTCCTTCTGTTCTGAAATTTCTATGATTCTAAGTTTCTGATCTATTCGTATGTTGTGCACTTTCCTTTATCTACCTTTGAATGCTCTACACAGGAGAACAGACATGAAAGAATAAGGGAAGTTACTGCCAGAGGTGAAATACAATTTATTCTTGGTTTGATTTCTGCCATCAGAAAAGTGCAAATTTAATTTAGATCAAAATACAGTAGGCTTATATAGTAATATAAAATATATTCACTATGTGAACCTGCTGTAATGTTGAAGCAAATTTTGTGAGCAGAAATACTGCAATAGGTATATAATATTTCATAAAAATTCTTTAGGCCACCTCCTGCCTCTCACCTTCCACCTGGCTCAGTATCCCACTCTACCTCTGAAGTGCCTTCACTTATGTGAAAGGCACCATATAAATGCAAGTTGTTGCAATTTGTTCTTTGCCATTAGTTTTTTCCAAGCAAGGTGCTGAAACAAGACCCCTAAAGGATTTAAAAAAGAATAAACCTAGCAACATTTTCTAACTGCAGTGCAGGCATAGATGATGCGACAAAATGTTAATTTACCTAGAGGGATTGAAATTTGCAACATTTCATAATGCGTTCAAAGCAATAATTATCAAATTTCACCCCATAGACTTAGCAGCTGAGTATGAACACACAATTGTTTACCTTCATTGTTCTCAAACACTGTTTATGCAAATAACTTTCATTATTTTATCCATAACAGGTTAGAGGAAGATAAGACTCTCCTTTCAGAATTGCAGAAAGACCTGAAGGAATTTAACTGCTGGTTGGAAGAAGGAGAGAGGATTGTAAGGATAGAACTTGTCCCTGGAAATGAGCAGAACCTGAAAGACTCATTGGAGACAGTCAAGGTAACATCTATGTATTGCCTTCTAAAGGGCGCTGCCTCCCTCCTGACAATCAAACATTGATGTTCAGGAAATCAGAGACAACGATCCACCTAGGTTTTGTCTGTAATATAATTTTGTCTTAAAATATAAGATTGCACAAAATTATGGAGAAATTTTAAATTCAGGCTTCATTTGGAAGCTGGATCTTTGATGAACTGCAGAAAATTGAAGAATTGAAACATTGAACAGTTCTGCCAACCTTAAATTTTCAGCAAAATGGTCTTGCAAGGTTAAGACTTGTAATAAATTTTGGCTTTAGGTGTTATTTCCTTATATCAGCTCATGATAACATAGATAACATAGATAACTTAGAAGCTACTTTCAAAAGTGTTGGGTGCTTTTGAAATATTTCAAATTACACACTTTTGAAAAACTAACTGGCTGGAAAATGGCATTGCATTTATCATCCTGGCATACTGAGTAAATGCTCAGTGTGATGTGCTGAACTCCGCAGGTTTCTGTTGATCCTTGGTTTGTGCTGTTAGTGATCTCAGCTGGGGTGGCAACACAAGGTCACAACAGTTAGTCTCAACATCTCTGTGTAAGGAAGGAAAATAATCTGCCGAAATTCTTGTTCCTAATCGGTTTCCAGTGATCCCTGTTGTAATGTGTCTGTTTCTGCCCATTGGGTGAGGATTGAGCTTGGCTTTAAAGTATCTCACTGACTTTCTGACGCTGATTGTCTGCACTTAAAAAATGACCACTTGGGTAAGACACTGGATGAGGCTTTTTGGTGCTTATGAACTGTAGCCCCACATGATTCCCTGCCTTCAGGATACGATGGATAAGGGAGGAAAAATAAAAGGCAAAAGGTTTTTTTTTAGTTATGAAACTAATCTATGTCATTTGAAATCTTTGTATCCATTTAAATACTGATTTATACACTGAATAGCAAGTGATGGCTTGTTCACTAGGTGTTTTGATTAAGGTAATGTTATGCAGCCTCATAACTTTGTAAATTGCACTTCATCATGCTGTGCATTAAAATGTGAGGAAATTTGTTTTTGCAAATATTATATAAAACCAATGGATAATGATATCTGAAAGGGTTAAAATTGGTTCTTTGTTAGTGTCTTCGGGGCTTCAAATACACCTGCAATTCAAAGGTAAACCATTGACTTATGGATTACATTTAAGTGTTAAATATCCATTTTTATTGCTTAATTAAATACAAGCCATTTTGCTGAGAACACTTCACATCGGTAAGATGAGATTTGGCAGTCTGCAGCAATAAATTAGATAATTCAGGGCTTCAAAACCTTCCATCGAAGACATTTATGTTTCTGCCCCATCTATGGATTCTGCATGAATAGAGGTTTTTAATTATCTGTGTGTAAGCCGAAGAACTGTTTCTGTTCAGTTTTATGGCCCAAGATGTTTAGAAATCAAAACATAACTGCATTAATTAGCCATAATGCTATTGCTTTGTTTAGTAACATGAGACATTAACTATAGTTCTCATATGTGGTTGTTATGTTGATTGATACTAATTGAGCTGTGACAATGGGGCTGATTAGAAGAACAGAAAGAAAAGGTAACAAGGATATTTGTTCCATCAGCTCTGTTTTCAGTGTACTTTGGGAGTCTGGTATGTGAGGATTTCTAACAGGATCTAATAAGGAATCTGAGAAGGTAACATCCTAACAGTAGCTGTTGGTACATCTTCGCCAACCCACAGGGATTGTAGTCGATGGCATAAAGAGCAGTTCTCATGGCTTAGCTTCACATATTTCAGGAATCCTTAATAAGTAATCCCGTGAGAAATTGCAACCTATTATAACCCAATGTGCACCCAAGTGCTGCAAACTAAATTTTCTTGGGAGTGGGCGGAACTATAAAGTTCTTCTTGGATGCAATCCAGGATTTCAATGTAGAATCAGAGCTACGTTGGAGCATTTCCTAACGGGATTCTTCAATCACAACTCCGAGTTGCAAATTAATATATTTTCTGGGGACTGGAATAGGCTTTAGACTAAATCTTTATGCCAAGGTGGGGTCAGATCTGAAACAAGTTGAAAATGATCACTTGAAATTCTTAATAGATACAATGCAACAATTATCAAATCAAATAAATCTGTTACGAAACATTGCTATTTTCAATGCCTTGGGACGTCCTTCCGATATGAAAGACGCTATGTAAATATAATCTTATTGTTGTTCTATTTTTCCCCTCCAGTGTGATGTGACAGAATGTTGATAATGGGATATCTCAGCTATAAAATAATAATCCTTGCTTTTGATTTTTTGGGGGGCAGCCAGCTGTCTGACCCAAGCAGAAACCCATCACCATGCTTAGACGTATCCAAATCAAACTGAGAGTTCCATGCAACCCACCTATACATGGAAATTCCAGAGATGTTTATTGGAATGGTATGCACACTCTCTCCCTAGAGAGACGCATCTTGTTTATCTAACTCCGGAAAACATTAGGTGCAGGTTGGCAAGAGCCAAGGCTTGGGCACCCCAAGAATGTGTGCTGGGGTACTGCTAACCAGCTAACTGCATAGCTTGCCATTGAGAGCACTACCTAACAAACGTTCCCACTGCTTGTCCAGTTAGGACCACCCTACCCATTAGGGCTTTGACTTGCAGGGCTAACCAGAACTGAGTGGTAAGAGTCCCTGCCCCTAGTGACTGGACAGTCCGTCCAAGCCCTACTGATGAGCTGGACTGGCTGTGCAGTGCCTAGAGTACTGTAGGCTTGCCTGAGTCCAAATTGGTGTCCACCACAACCTCCAGATACTGATGACAAATCAACAATTGGACTGATGGAAAAAAAAAATTGCATTTGTATAGCGCCTTTCACATTGTGAGGATGTCACAAGGTGCTGGACAGACAGAGTTATGGACCCGAGCTGGGGGTCAGGGTCGGGGAGGGTGGAGGGCTGAGAGGGAATCAGGGAGATCGAAAGCATGGTCGAAGAGGAGGGTCTTGAGATGGCTCTTGAAGGAGGCAAGGGAGGGGTCAAGGCAGAGGGACTGCGGGATGGAGTTCCAGAGGGTAGTGGCAGAGTGGCAGAAGGCCCGCCCGCCAATAATGGAACAAGCGAAGTGGGGGACGTGAAGCAGGACAGAGGGAGTGAGTAAGATGGTAGGGGGTTAGGAGGTCGCAGAGGTACCCCCGAGCAAGACCATGGAGGGCTTTGAACGTGAGGACCAGGATCTTGAACTGTATCCTCTGTGTGATGGGAAGCCAGTGGAGTTGGGCGAGGATGGGGGTGATAGGGTCGCGGAGCCTAGTGCGGGAGAGGACACGGGCTGCAGAGTTCACATCAATATCCTTGATGTGTTCTTTTGAGCCGTGCAGAACTATGATGCTCCACTTGTGTGCACACATCACCATGTCCCACTGGGTGGTCCAGTGTTCAAGGTGGCAGGTCCAGTGCAAAAAGTCCCCAAGTGAGTCCACCAGGAGTACAGTATCGTCCGCAAACAGAATCACCCCAATCTTGTCAGAAAGGCCTGGGACAGATATCCCAAGTTCTTTCCCCTCAGTGCCATCCATCGTGTCACTGATGAATACATAACATCAAATCGGGTGGGTGAACAATACCCTACCCTTTTTTAAGGAGGTGCTTTTGATATAGTGCCTTAATAGATCATCAAAATGTCTCAATCTGCTTCACAGGATTTACTATAAAGTGTAATGACTGTACGAAATACAAGGATTATTGTTATTATTGGGACTATTATTATTTGTATTATTTGTCAATGATCATATTATTTGCAGCAAACCGATGCCATGAGGGAATGACTAATTTTATCTGGGTGATTGTTAGCCAGGCCATTTGTATGTATTTTTTTTTCCTTTTTCAGTTGCAAGTGGACGAAATACCGTCACGTAAAGGGATCTTGAAACGTATGAACGAGAGTGGAGGAGTGTCACTGAAAAGCGAGGCTCTGACTCCAGAGCAACATTTCAAACTGGAAACTGAACTCCTGGAGGTTAACAACCGCTTCACAAAGGTACATTCCAGCAGTGATGGCCAGCCTTTTTGGTCAACTAACAAAATTAATTTTCTTGATTGAATATTTCTTAATTTATCCCATGAATCAGGAAACATTCAATCATCATAAAAAAAACTGGAAACAAATTATTGATTGAACATGGATTTACAACAACAACAACAAGATTCCATTTATAGAGCGCCTTTCACGTCGGGAGGACGTCCCAAGGCGCTGTACAGTTGGGTCAGGACCCGAGCCTTGGGGGGAAATGGTCAGGGTGAGGGGAGGGAAGGGAGGGAGCGAGGAGGGGATAGAGAGTCGAGAGGTGAGCTGAAGGCACGGTCAAAGAGAAAGATCTTGAGACCGGCCTTGAAGGAGGAAAGGGAGGAGGTGGCGAAGGCACTGGGGGATAGAGTTCCAAAGCCTAGGGGCTGAGAGGCTGAAGACCCGGCCACCGATGGTAGGGCGGTTGGGGCGGGGGATGTGGAGCAGACCGGAGCCAGAGGAACGGAGGGTACGGGCAGGTAGGTAGGGGGATAGTAGGTCGGAGAGGTAGGAGTGCAAATGTTTGGGGGGTCAATTCTGGCCTCCGGATGATGAGTTGGCCACCACTGCCCATGAGAAGAAGAATCTTTTATAAATTGCTGTGGCTGCTCTATTTTGCCCACAATATATACAGTCACTACACTTTACAGTGTACCCTGTGAGGTGCTTTAAAATATCTCGAAGACGCGATAAGGCACTATATCAAATGCAAGGATTAACATTGTTATCATGGATCCATCTATGCAGAGCTAGTAAAATAAAAGACATCCAAATTTCTTTTCACTTAGAATAATGGGAGCTATAATTTTTGTCAGCAGTTTAATAGATTAAGCTTCTATTTGCTGTTGCTGTCTCATATTGATTGATTTGGTCTATCAAATTCGAGATTACCAAACAAACTTTTTAAGGCTGTACAGATTGTTCCAATACCCGGTTTATTAGCTCACTTCAATCAGAAGCTTTCTTTATTGAGGAACCATTTTCATGTCAAAATGTTCAGCAATTTTTTTTGAAAGCAATGCACAATTCTTCTGCCTGGCTTCCTATCCAGCTGAAACAAATTTTGCCAAATACATATTCATGACTTTCTGTCTTTAACTTTAAATACCAAGAGAGATTCAGATGAAGAAATTCTTCAGATTTCTTGATTTTATCCTCCCAGAATACTTAACCTATGAACTTCACATTAGTCAAGTGTCTGAAAGGAACCAAGTGCCCTGTCCTCAATTATTTATTAGATAATCTATTGCACCTTTTTGATTACCCAGTATAAAGAATTGCTGAATTTTCTCTAACTTAAAATAACCTTCCATAGCCTGTCCCCTCGATCCACAACCTTGGCGTATCTGAAAGTGTTGTTCTGGCTTAATTTTACTTTCTCTTTCAGGATTTCCTTCTGACTTTCTCCTTTTGAGTTTGAAGATCCTTACCTTATCCAGTCATTCGTCATAGTTCTTCCCTCTAATTGTGAGGATCAATCTTAGAGCTCTCCTTTGTGGAGGTGCCTCTAGTATCTGGAATGGCCCATTCTTGTTCTGGTGAACAGAAATGTGTGCAATATTTCAGGTGCGATCTAAGTAAAGCACCACAGTTTGAGCATTATTTTTGGATCTGTGAACTCAATTGATTTGGCATTATAGCCCATCATTTCTCTTTGCCTTGGTTTCTTATGTCTCTCACTGTTTGGATACGCCGAGTGCCAAGTCAATAAATATTCCTAGGTCTATTTAAATTCCTCCCCTTCGATAAGCTTTAGCCCATTCACGGAGTTAAGCAAAAATTAGTCTGTTAAAAAGAATTACCTAATCTTAAATTTGCTTGAGGCCAACATTCCAAGTGAAGATTATATACATTTTACTATAACTAGAATGTGTTTACTCTTTTCTGTTTTGGCTGTTTATTACTTATTGATTTGCCATGTTTGGTTTCCTTCTTGTTTCTTTCTCCTTTGGAATTTGTGCCTAGGTTTTTTAAACAGAATTCGATTGGTAAGGGTGCTTATTCCCCTCCCGCATCATATTTCATCATGCTGGTTGAGGGAAGAAAACTATGAGGGTAGCTGCAACACAGTTCAAATCAAATGCACAAGACAGACTAAAAAGAACATGATTATTTAATGCTTAAAAATAAAATTATGGAAAATAAACAGCATCCAGTAGCAATTTATTTGGAGTGATTTAATTTGAACAGTGTCTCCTCCACAGTGGGATTGTATATTTCTGCACAGTTTTTTTACACGCAGCGGAGACAAGAAGCTCAAATAAAAACATCATTTAAGTTTTCAAAAGAATGACAGCCAGAGTTGATGCATATTAAAGTAGGTTATTTAACTCAGGCTGTGAGCACCGAACTGGAAACAAAGGTTTAAAATGAGCAAGACTCCAGTGAGATATAAGATTAGATTTTTTTTGCCATATATCTATTATAGTAATAATAACAAACCTTCCATTTGATATAGCACTTTTCACCAGTTGGATACTTCAAAGCAATTCACAGGATGTACTGTGTGTTTTGTGGGCAGATGCCTGTAACTATGTGAAACAAGCATCAAGCAGAAGTTGATATCTTGGGTCAAGGTAGCACTTTGGGTAAGAAAGTTATGGGTGCATGCCCCAAGTTGGGACATAAGCTCATAGCCTATGCTATAAATGCATAAATAGATATTGTAGAGATTTGCATGATTACTTTTGGGTATCAGGGATTATTTTTGCAGAACAAGAGATTAAATAATTAATGAAGAAGGTTGTGGGTTCAAGCTCCATGTAGGGACTTGGAACTCACATAGTATTGTCAGAGATGTCATCCTTGAGATGTTTAAACCAAGGCCCGCCTGCCTTTTCTGGTGGACGTTAAAGATCCCATAGCACCGTTTGAAAATAAAAGGGAGTTTCTTCCCGTGTCATAGCCAACAATCCCCCAAATAAAATTGCTCACTCGCTCATATGGCTCTTTGCAGGACATTGCTGTGCGCAACTGGCTGCCACACTTTGCCCACAAAATATACTGTCAAACCATTTTACAGTATATCGTGTGAAGTGCTTTGAGATGTCTTGATGACATAACAAGGCCCTCTATCAAATGCAAGGATTATTAATAGTAGTAGTAGTATTTCTCCAATTGCTTTTCAATGTTGTTCTGGATCCAGTACCAACAATAATTTGTGGTAAGACATTTTACATTCTAACAAATGATAAGATGGATTAACATAAAAGCAGCGGGCTTTAGGAATGAGTAATTTGGTTTTTCACACTATCGTATGTTACATTCGTTAACCTTCACTGGAGATAACTATTGTTGACTACCTATGAAACATTGCACATTGAGGACCTAGATTTTCTTAACTGGAAGCTCAGAGTTGGCCACACCAAGTAAGTCTGTATCACTCATTCGCTCTTCCTACATAAGAAGCTTGCAGGAACAATGGCTAGCAGGTTGAAATTGATAATGTCACCTTCATAGCAGAGCAGTTATGAAACTCATGACTGTGGTTCAAAATTCAAATGAAAGCTAGTCCAAGATCATTCAAGCAGGAAGGTACTAGAAATTTCATGAGGCTGCTCATTTCTCATTACTTAGATCTAACTTCAACAATAAAAAATTACATTTGTATAGCGCCTTTCATGTCAGCAGGATGTCCCAAGGTGCTGACATCATATTCTCAAAAGTGTGATGGAATGATAGCAGTAATGACCTAATACTCTTTCTGAAGTTAGACATAGGGTAAGGAGCTAAACATAAGGCATTGTGTGCTACTGATTTCACCGGTTCACTAAATCCAATTTAGTATAACAGAAGAAGAATCCTTACATTTAATTTAAATTTCACATCAGGGGGACGCTTCACAGGATTTACTGTGAAATGTAGTGACTGTATTTTTTAGACACATTTGAGAAATTGTTGGCCAGGACATAGACATTACGTGGCTGTGATATATTTACCGTCCACTTGAACATGCAGAATGGAACTTGGTTTTAGGTCTCATCTGAAGAACTGAGAACTCCTAATTCTATAGTATGTTTTGATTATTTTATTGTACAATAAATGGATTGTTAGATTAGGCTCCAAGTCAGTGAACCATGTCACTTGACGTTTGCTGTAAGAATTTAATACACTTTAATGTTATTTCTGGCTGGAGAGAGATGAGTTGGATTATTGGAGAGTAAAGGGGGTGCCAGAATTCCCATCTGCCTCATTTGTCTAGTAGAGACTGAATATCAGATGAGTCTTGTTGCAGAATGCTGATGGTGCTTTCATCCAGTTTTGCTTTCAAATATGGATATCCAAAATGAAGTTAATTATAGGTAGCCAAGTAACTTGCACCAGTGTTAAATTCTGTGTACAAATTGATTGGTTTCACTGTTGAAAGAATAAAGATGCAGGTTAAATTAATTGAAGTTTGCAACATTGGCCACAGAGGGAGGCCTTAAGGCTTGGCTGCTCATGTGGAGAGCGTGACAGATGAACGTACAATAACTGAAACATACCAAAGTCATGCCAAGGTCACAAGTCACAATCAGCAGTTTGTTTTGACAATGATAATGCAAGTTTAACTGACAACAAAAATACCAGCTCGTTAAAGTTAGGGAACTGACTCTTTCAGTCTGCAGCTTGGACTAAGTCGTAACTTGAACCTGAACCCGCAACCTTCTGAATGAGCTTTAGTGGTATGTGCAACCTGAATCATGAAACTGGTAAACCCTTACTGGCTGCACCTTTGTACTGTATTAAATTGACAAATCAATATAAACAAAAAATAAAATTATGTTAGCAGGTTTTTATGTAATTAGTCTCAGGGAAGTAAATGAGAAGAAAATGTTGCAGAGTTTTCCACTGAATAGATATCAAAATCTAATTATACATTGTACCATTATGTCCATAAACATGCAAGAAACATCCATACATTTAAAGGACATAATAATAATCATCATCACCATAATAATCCTTGCATTTGATATAGTAACTTTCACATTGAG